ACAGCATAGTATTGCTTTCCCTTGGTGACGATGTGTTGTAAGAGGCTGTCGAGGAAGAAAAAAACCATCTAGGTATGGGAGAAACTAGAATCATTGTTCTTAAAAAATTCTCTTGTAAATCATCTGTTATTGAAGAAGCAACTATATACCCTTCAAATGGAAGTATCAAAGGATCTTCAAAAGCATATGGATTACTTCAACAAAATCATTCTTGATCTAAATAATGTTGACGTGCGGATTAAAGAAGAAGATCAGGGCATCATCTAGCTTAGCTCACTGCCAAAAGCATATGAACACATCATTGATATAATGTTATTTGGGAAACAAACTTTGACAATGACTGAGGTAAAGTCAGTATTGATATCAAAGGAGATTCAATGGAAATAAGAGACTAAGGAGAAAAGGAATGGCAACATGTTGCTGGTTAGGGGCAGATTTTAAGTTGGAAAAGAGAAAATGAGCTAGATGTGTTATCTTTGCCACAAAGAGGGACATTTCAAGAGAAATTGTTCGAATAGAAAGAAATGGAAAAGAGTTGAACTCAAAGAAGACACTAACTTGGCAGTAGCAGTAGATTTAGGGGATGAATCGATTGATTCAGAGATTTCATGAGATTCAATTGGAAGAAGTTGGATCAAGGTGGAGATTGTTAGAGTTTTTTTTTTTATCCAACTTAACTATATTTTTTGTATTTTCTATTACCTTTATATATATGTGTGTTTTTTTGTAGCTTTGATGTTGTCATTTGTATCAATATATAGACAAAAAATCTGTAATACCCAATCACCCTCTCTAAAAACAAGCCAATAAAGTTTTTGCTTGATGTTTTGCTCTCTACTATTCTGACCTTCCTCCTTCTCATCCAAGAAGCTTAAGAAAGCTTCCTTCTTCTTCAAGAAATTCCAACATGTGGGAAATAAATGCAAAGATCAAACTCCACAAGGGATTCAACCTTTTTTAAAGAAAAAGGATGATAATAAGTCATTTGTAATGTAATTACTGGATGCTTAAGCCAAAGCAAGGACGATTCGTTAAAGATTTTATCTCACACAAAAGTCTCAAAATTTAGATTCTTGAATTAAAGTTTTCATACTTGACTAAGAAAATTTGAAATTATCCCAAGGGCTAAGAGAAGGCATGTGTATCACAAGAACAATATATAACATTGAATCTATTGGAGATGCAGCAAATACAAAGCATGATAACTAGCTCCTTTAGAGATGTAATTTAGATGAATTTGATATAAATAATTAGCCCAATCAATGGGTGCCAAGTTGGGCCAACGATGTTAAAAAAAGTCATTTATACTGCATATTTCATTTCTCATTAAATTATTCATATTATTGAAATATGATATTCATACTAGAAAAAAATAGTGTGGAGACATTCAGAGTTTTATATGTGCAAAGTTATCAACGTTTTTCGCTAACGTATAAAAAATTTTGCTAAAAACTATGTATTTTTGAAAATTTAAATGGACATAATGTGACTTACCTCGAGACAAACAAGTTTCTCGAGCAGGTCAACAGATAAAAATGACTCGAAGTCGTCCAAAAAATGAATTTTCTTTTCTCTCACCTCTCTTTCTTCCCTAGGTCTCTAAGCCAACTATGTGTTGGATAAAAACGAAAATTTAAATGAAAAGGGATTTAATAAACCCATTTTGGCTTAAGATATTTTTCTTTTTATTATTATTAAATAATATATAATAATATTATTATAATAAAATTTTAATAGAAAATTCATAGAACCTTTTTAGGGATTTCAAAAATTACTAAGAAAATTTCATAAATTAATTTATTTTATTTAAAAATTCTGGTTAAATCGGTTGGCAAAACGAACACCTGATGGTCCCAAAAACCTCACTTGTACGGACAGATGCCGATTTCTTAAGAAATTTCGATAGTGCCCAAAAATTATGAAAAAATCAGGGAAGCTAAAATACAACATTATAAATATTTTGGTGAAGATGGTTTGTGGTTTGGACTTCTCTAAGTCAACAAAAAAAAAAAAAATCTTAAAAATTTTAAGGGTTTCACATTATTAGCCTTTGTCATATATCCGAAATATAACTAAAGATTTTCATGAGCTTTTAAGCATCTCTCATCAAATTTATTGAGCTCTTCTTGCTTCAATTGGGCATTCTCTTCTTCAATGATTCAATAACTATGTGGTGTAGACTAAGTTGTTATCTAGAAATACATGGTCAAATATGCCCATAAGGCTTCCACCAAATTATAATGCTACTCTTATATATTTATTTTAGTTTAAGAGATTCTTAATCCATTGGGTTATATTTTTTATAAATTTTTCTTTCAAAAAAATAGTCCTAGGATAATAAATAGTAAAATAATGCCAATTAATAATATGATTACTGATACGGCATCACAAAATCATCTTGATCGGGCACGAATCTCAAGGCAAAAGCTAGTTGGAAACTTCAAAAAAATCTTGGTGTCTCATAAATGCTAGACCCTCTCTCCTTATCTGATTGCGTGCCGAATTTTCGTACAATGCTGAGACGTTAAATATGATATTTCTCTACCGCCGCGAATACTCCTGGACGCAACAATTACAAAAAAACATTTTATCGCTCAAAAAGGTATAAACTAACTTCCTAAAAAGACAGATCCAATTCAAACTATTTGATAACATCATTTATATTTGCGTTTCACTTACATGTTAAGTCTTCGTTTGGGATAATTTTCTTACTCCTTTTTAAAATAACTTTTTTATACAAAATTTTATTAAACTAAAACTTTTTTGTATTAAAAAGTTGTTTTAAAAAACAGTAAGAAAGTTATTCCAAACAAAACCTAAGAGAACAACATCTTGAACTTAGAGTCAATGACACATCTAAAGTTTTCACAAACAGCATGCCTTGCTAACTCTCATGAAGAGCCTCTCCAATAAAATTTACCTCATGAAAAAACAAATCATCTTTAATTAGATAAAGAAGACAAGGGGGCATTGGAAGGTGCTTGGGAAGTCCCACAACATATGCAACTCCTTAGAAGGGGGAGGAGGTGGCTGATGGTAGGCCTGTTAAAAGTAGATCAACAAAGTGCAGATCATCCATAATAAGTAGTCTTCCACTAGCAGAGCTTATCAAAACTAACATAGTCATTTTGCCTCATGCTTTTGGTCATATACTCCCCATAATTATCATTATGACAGGTAATATCTTTTTTTTTTTCCTTTCAATTGTCTTTATGTTCATCATACCAAATGTAAAAGTTTTTATCTTTGAAATTTTTTATAATTATAGATACTGTAAAACTCTTACACATCTACAATTTAGCATACATATTTTTATTTTTTTTAACTAAAAATCTTACCTTTGTCACTATGAGTTTATAATTTGAGAAATTATTCCATGCGGATATCGGACAGAGAGAACTGTACGGTTTTATCTCTGTCTACAATAAAAACGCAGCTACTACAAAGCTGCACTTTTATTATAGACAGAGAGAAGACCGAACGGTTCTCCCGTCCGGTGTCCGTACGAAATAATTCATCATATAATTTCATCGCCATTTGTTCTATCTTGCAATATACTTAAATCTACCACTAATAACATTTAGGTTTTCATTGATAGAATTTATAATGGTTTTTAAATTAACTTTTTAATATAAAATTTTTGTAAATAGAAATATTTGTATTAAAATTTTATTTAAAAAACATTAAAAAAAACGATCTCAACTATGAAAAATTATTAGGTGCGGAGTGTGCACTGTTCGCACAAGCACTGGGTACCCAGCGGTACCCAGTGCCAGTACCTAGCTAGATATAGTGCTTGTGCGGACGGTTCTCCCCGTCCACACTCTGCACAACTGTATCCTTCTACGTTTAGAATAAGATTTTGGTTGAGAGAGATTTCTTACTATTTTTAAAATATTCTTTTAATATAAAAATTAATTTTTATTTAAAAAAAAATTATACCAAATGAAGCGTAAATCTTATCATTTACAATGACTACGACGCATGTTTAATGAATGGCACACCACAAATCAAAATTATAAAAAGAAAATTCGTAATGACTATTTATCAAGAAGTTACGGGGCTAAAACGTAAAAGTCCACTGAAAAGCACATCGCCATCCCTTCCCCATCCCGGCCCCACACCCTTTGCCTCTTTTCATTTGTTTTTATTTTCCATGAATGGTCGTGAAGAAATTAAAAAATAAAAATGAAAAGAAAAACCAACATGATGAAACCATGGGGGTTAGTGCCGGAACCCAGACATGACAGTTCCGTAAATATTGTAAAACTCATGGGCTTTATCTTAAATTGTTCCCGCCGCCCCTCGCGCCCAGATAATCATGTCGCGCCACCTGTTTCTCCTATGCGGTCCCCATCCACCATTAACCTCTTAATTCCCGTATCACCCCTAATTAATCATAATTATCTCTCCCTACCCTTCTCCCCTTGTTTAAAATTTTCTATTAAATTTCAAACAATGGCTACACTTTTATAATTAATCAAAGGCTGAGAACATATAATTTGATTGAAATTGGTTGAAACTGTCAATATTTTTTATTAGTTTTAACCGAATGTAAAATTATATAAAATATAATCTTTAAATTAAATATATAAAAAGGCCTGAGAATTTCATATTTTACATAAATAAAATATATTTTTTAATTCAGTTATATGTAACTTTTTTTTTTGCATAATTTTGATTAAATGTTTCTTAAAAGATAAAAAGATGTAATGATGATACATCATCTTCATCATTTTTATTTCTAGGATGTTTAAAAAAATATTTACAATAATTTAAATTATAATTTAGAAGATAAAGCTTTCATAGCATGCATAAGAAGAAGATCATTTATAAATACAATTTTAATATTACAAATAATTATAAAAAGTTTATATATATATATATATAAAGGATCCAATCCTCAACTATTCTAAATTCCACTTTAACAATTTTTCATGTGTATATATATAAATATATATATAAAAGACTGCCTTCTTCATATCTTTTTTTTTTTTTTCTCTCTCTCTCTCTCATGTCTGTCTGCAACTATTTGATCACCACAAGCTTCCAAAGAAGAGGAATTAATAGAAAGGCAGATCCAAAAGCTCTTCTCTTCGCCTTTTATCTCAACCCATTTATCTCTCCCTCCCATCAGTCCTTCACCATGAAAAAGGCTACTACATGTTTTAGCTAATCCTTTCATGTGTATGAAAAGCTAGGGTCCCCTTCCCTGATTCTTCCATGGCTTCTACTACTTTATCTTCTCCTTCGTCTTCTTCTTCAAGAAAAGAGACGAGGGGATCAGCCGAACAAAAGAGCTCATGAAATCATGGTACCGGCAAGAAACCTCCTCCGGCGACACTACGACTGTTATGGAGGATACTTTTCGGATTCCTATTTCGATTTCGAGAAGCCGACGCCGGCTCTGAGATCACCGGAATTCATGGGAGGTTTGGCGAACTGTGAGGAGAGACAAGAGGAGGAAGAGGAGGAGGAGGAAGCCGGGACCAGCAACAGAGACGCCGGAGATCAATGTTGTGAAGGCTGGCTTCAGCTTGGCGTTGGCGTCGGAATTAGACCACCGACATCCCGCCGTTCACCCGGGAGCAGCTCATCAGCACCGCCGTTGAGGGAAGTGAGGGTAGCGCTTTCAACGGAGCTTGAGCTTTTTGCTCCCCGGCCGGCGCCGCCGGAGCCTATGAATATTCCAATGTTTCCACCACCTCCTCCGCCGCATCTCGGCGTGTTTTATCCGCGAGACGCGCCATGGGGGTTTTGGAATGCCGGCAGTGTTGCAATGGGCGTCGGGCAGCCGGCATTTTTGCCGCCTGTTCGTAGCTTCGTGGTTCCATTCGAAAGCTCTTCGGCGGCGGCCTCGGGCGAGCTAAGACTGGTAAGCACGCCGGCGAGACCTCAGGCTGGGGTGTGGTTCATGCTCAAAGCCTCACAGAACCAGTAAGTAATAATGATTTGCTTTTGTGGTTTCATGCTTAATGTATGCAATAATAAGATGGCTTGAATTTTTAGCTTTGCTTTTTGAGCATTTATCTCTATGTGGGCTTTTGGATGGCTTCATCATGAGTGTGGACTTAGGGTTTTCTTCTTCCTCTCAATTTCTAATGACATTTTCAATGCAGAGTGAGGGAGCCCTTTTTGCCTCAGATTCCTAAGAGCTACTTAAGGATCAAGTACTTTTTTTTTTCTCTTGCTTCTCTACTTGCTTTTATTTTTCTTCTTGGAGGAGCTCATGGCTTGGTTTTAAAAGGTAAGGGTTCTAATTCTTAGTTACTTTATCTTTGTGTAGGGATGGGAGGATGACAGTTAGGTTGTTGAAGAAGTACTTGGTGAACAAGCTTGGTCTTGAGGATGAATCAGAGGTACTATATTTGTTATTTTTTTAATTATTATTAAGGTTCTTATTTTGTTTTTAATGCAAGTCATGCAAGCTCTAAAGACTTGAGCACTTTTTCTTTTTCTTTTTTCGTTTAATGCTAAGGCTTGGAATGGATGGATAGGAAAAAAGGACATAGGAGTGCATGGAAATGAATCATGAAGAAGTATAATGGTGTTCCTAACCTAAGTTGGTGAAAAGAACATTTGAACCGAAAAGTTTCTTCATGGTGGTATTAGATTGGTTCTTCATTAGGAAGTCATGGTGTGGAGTGCAAGTCTGAGTGGAACATCATTTTGTTCCTCATGATTAGGGTTTTAAGAGCTTGCTTTTGGTGTTTATTAGCTCATTAATAAGTGGCTCAGTTGTGTAGGAAAATTATTTGGTGAGTGCGCTTTAATTTATTTAGTACATTATTAGTGTGTGTGTATATATATATATAAAAGCTCAGTCCGTATACTCATTATGACACAGCTACTGGTATAGGCTTGTGATGAAAAAAATTGTGAAAGCAATGTGAATTCATTAAGGTGTTGTATGGCTTTTTAAGAGTTCATATGCCTCTGATATTTTTTTTTTTTCTTTGAAAGCTTACTTTGGCTACTTATCAAGGTAAGTTGTTGTGGACACTTCTGTCTTTGTTCATATGGTTTGGAGGTTTGGGAGATGACTCAACTCTCTCTCTCTCCCTCTCCCTCTCTCTCTATCCCTCTCCCTCTCTCTCTCTCTCTCTCTCTCTCTCTCTCTCTCTCTCTCTCTCTCACCTAACTTCGTTGAAAGCTATGGACCATCCTAAACATGAATTTAATGATAAGTTTAGGAATAATAGGAAAATAGCACTTGCCCTTCGAACAGATACTTCAACGGCTAAATTTTGGCATATATTGAGAACAAAATAATTATTTTTGTGCCAATAGGCAAGGCAAAACAAGCATTAATGGGTAAAGAGCTATTAGGTTCGAAGGAATCATCATGACACATATAAGGATGCAAGATTGAATCCGTTGACGCATAATTTTTAGCATAATCTTATTTAGACGAAATACGAAGGCTCGTTAGATTTAATTAGTGATTAATAGTTTATAAGCCTAATTATTTTTTTCCATTTCGAAGATGCATAACCTTATTTATTCTGCATTTATTTACTTTGTATATATATCTGACTTCAGCTTATTTATAATAAAAATTATTATTATTATTATTATTATTATTATTATTATTATTATTATTATTATTATTATTATTTATGAGACAAATTCCATTACACGCATAGGCCACACATTAACACGACCATGTATGAAAGTGATACGTGTGTGAGATTTGAAGCTTGTCATGTGTCTGCACAGAAACAAATAAATAAATGAATAAACAAATAATTGTAAAGCAATTAAAACTTTATGAGGAATATTTCATTTGAATGAATATAAATCATGTATTAATTTCAATAGTTTTCATATTTGTTATTTTTCTTGTGTTTTATATGTTTATTTGGTGTTAAATTTGTGGGTGGTTAAAGCATTGTGCCAAGAAAAAGTTAAACAAATCCAGGATTTTCACATATTAATATTCTTCTATTGCACTCTCATAGACATGCTCAAGTATAAATGTATAATACTTTCAAATATGGTCAAATTTACTGTAAAAATAATATTTTTTATTCTCCAACAAGCTAAAATTTTTTCATTTGGATACAATTTTCTCTTCCATGATTAGTAGAACACTACAACAAAATCACCTATTACCCGGGGCATTTTCCAACGAAAATTGATAATTTTCCGGCGGCTTTAGAATTTACCGGTTTTAGAATCCAACATTTTAAATTGGTCAATCGTGCATTTCCACATCAGTGTTTGTTGCTGCATTTTTATTTTTATTCTGCAATCTCTTACTTTTGCATGTTTAAAGGGCATTTTGCTTATCCATAATAGCATATTGCATGCATGGAACTTACATCGACATCTTAGAAGTATATTTGGAGATGGATTTTGCTTTTGGAGCTTCATATATTGCAAGAACAGTGAAAGAGTAATGTATGTTATGTCAGATTAGCATCAAAGATATTTTTTCCTGCTAGTTTTATAATAAGTGTTAGATATGACGTTCATCATCGCAACTCTTCAACTATTTTTCTTATGGTTTTCTACTCCACGCAACTATATATGTTGTCATTTTTATTTTGTAGTGGATATATTTTATTGCAAAAAATTATGTAAGAAGTTTCATGATGTTTTCATAAGATAATGATTGTTATTTTCTATCATAATTTATGTATGCGTGTACTTATGATACTACTTAGAAATAAAAAAAATGGTCATTTTAATCATGTAAATTCGAAAAAAAAAATTAGAAAATAATATTTAAATTAAGGGGATTTATATGCATACCATAAAATTCTTACTTATTTACATTTTTGTGCATCTAAATCTTTATATTTACTCATGTAACGTTTAACTCTCTAAATCACATAAAAATTCAACTAATATTAACTTAATTATTTGAAGTTAAACATATATTTTCATGCATTCATTGTGATGTGATTTATACATTAAAGTGGTATATAAGTAAATATAAAGATTTATGTGCTATATATATAAATGTATAAGAATTTTGTGGCAGTATGTATGCAACTTCCCTTAAATTAATTAATGTAAATATCATTTTTTTTTAATTAATGTAAATATCATATAGTAAAGGTATCGTTGACATATAAAGTAAGGCTTGACAACTATAAATGAGAATGTTAAGATAGATGCAATAAAAAATAGAAAGAATGAATTGTTAATTTAATGATTATAGTTGAGAAATGATAGGTGTAACACCTATTAAAATATTAATTAAGATAATGTAGTGAAAGTAGACTTAATTAGATAGTTAGCGCATTTAGCATTTATCAAAGGATGAAAAATATATCAATTCGATGAGAAATTAATATAAAAGGGTAAAGTGAGCTAGAGATCCTGTAGCTCTTTGGAGCAATAGTGAGCTAGAGATCCCTTTAAGGACTGTATAACTTTTTCCCTTATTTAACGCGTAGGCCCGTAGGTGGGTTTTAACCAAAATATATATATATATATAAAAGGGTAAGTTGAAGAGAATTGGATATAAAAAAAAAATTATATTAGAATGTTTAACGACTCATACAACACAACAAAGAAGAAAGAAGGCTAAGGATTTATAAAACAAACTCTGTAAAATTCGTATAAGAAGACTATATACTAAATTAGTAATGATGAAGGTGAGCACAATGTGAACTATTTTAAAATGTGATTTCTTGAACTACAATATATCTTTATTTGTACATCTATAAAAGAAGATTATTATTTTTATTTTAGTCTGAGAAGCAAAGTAACATATATTAATGGAAAGCGACGATTTTTAGTCTTTTTTTATTACCTTTTTTTTCCTTTTGTTAACAATTTATTGTTATTAATAAATAAATAAATATGAAGATAGGATTGTCATCTTCCACAATATACCACTTCTCAATGATTAATACTTCTTTATCTATTTAAAAAAAGAATGATTATGTTTTGCTAGTTGTTCATCTCTACCTAAAGCATCCAGAACTGATGACATGCATCAATTATTTCCAGTTTGTTGACATGAATTGGATGAAGTACAAATAAAGCTACCAACTTCCATTCTTTTTCTCTTAAAAAAGTCATAGATGCAACAACCATGATACCTATGTAATGCTAGCAAGTTGCATATTTTATTTGATAAGTGACAGCTTTCTAATTCTATTTTCTGTTATATTATCATGCACATAATATAGTTCTTTTTTTTTTTTTAAATTCAGTACGATTCAACTCTTTCCTATTTATTTAGATTCACTGTAAAGTTATGCGTTGTATGCAAAATTAAATTTATAAGTAGTTGTTTGAGTGATGTAAGGAGAAGCTAAGTTAAATAATGAAAGCAGAAAGAAAAGCCATAGAAACATTCTTCTTGTTCTTGCCGTCCTACTGCACCACACGTATGTGTAAATTGTAATATATATATATATATATATATATATAAACTTGGTTGCGTAGGCTGCAGGGTATATATGAAACGATTGAAAATTCATTTTGGTTTTAGTTGAAACGGTCTTAAGTAGCTTGCCTTGTTACAGCTTTCTTTCCTTCAACATTTATAAGTAAACTATGCGTATCAATTAAGTATAACTTCGCAGATTTTAGCAAATTTGATCTGAACAAAACATATGGAGGTGTACATGCAGTACCTATATTGAAACATGTTCTTTTTTTCTCCATATGATAATCAAATTGTTGTGATCGTCATATTTTTCTAGCAAAGATTGTTTGCTAGCCAGTTGTTCGAGAGAATTTGAAATTTGTAAGGATTTAAGGGTGGTTGGCTTTCTGTTAGGTTAGGTGTGTGTATAAAGCTAGAAGTGTTAAACATTATTTTTTTCATGACTGAATTGCACATTTATAGAAGAGGTCCGTTCAAAAATTGCTTGGTTGGACCCCAAAATGCTTAGGTATATATATATATAGGTTGGATTCTAGTGGGATGTACAAACAAAGATTCGAGTGAAATTATTGGGTTCTCTCTTGCTTATGATTTTTCAGTCTTTTATCGGTGTTTGAGTCTATTCATCGGTAATTTACCGAAAATAATTACTGAAAATTTTTTTACAATTTTAGAAGTATTTCCAACATGGTATTTTCCCACCTAATGAAATCATTAGAAATGAAATTTTCAATAGATTTTTGCTATTTTTGGAGGATTTTTGCCATTGGAAAATGATTGTTTCCTATTCAAGCAAAGGGCTTTCCTTTATGCTAAGAAGTTTATGTCAATATAGGTGCTACGCTAAAAAGAAGTTATCATGTCAATCAAAAGATGCTAGAATGAGCTAGTGTTGTCCTCTATCAATTAAGATATATATTGAGGGAACCTCTTTAGCACTAAGAATATTACTTTTGAGGAACTTCTTGGCATGAGTAGGTTACTACTAAGGGTGCTAGCATTCTAATTATAGTCCATGCAAATTTTATGAAAGGTATTCCAACAATGAAAATTAGAATAAAACTCTCATAAAAGCATGACATAGCTGCGATTTCAACACTCTAGGGCCATCTTTTATAGTAGAGATATATAAACTATTTGCAATTTTCAAATTTGATACTCCTCGTAGTAAATCTCTGGGCTCTAAGCTAATTTTGAACAATTTGAAAAAGATAGAAGAGATGACCATCCAAATTAAAGATGGATGCAAGTTCCACCTAGTTGCCCAGTCAAAAAAGCTAGCTAAGAGGGTTGCACAACTAGCTCATAATTAATATAGTAACCACTAAAAGCATTATTAATAGTGAAGGGTGTGTTGCAAGGAGAGATTTAATTGCTTGTTAGTGATATATCCGAAGTCTATAGATAGCTATACATCCAATCTAAGATCAATACAATCCTCCACCAAGTCATAGAAGAGAAAATCATTAACATATATAATTAATTGCGCGCTCAAAATTAGCACCATTGCCAAGGTGTAAAGTTAAAGATTTAGTGAACCTAGGTATTTTTACATAATCTTCTCGTAGCTATAACTCTTACTAAGTGAAAATGACCTTTTAGGAGAATGTTTATTCAAAGTATTTTTCTTATCAGAATTTCTCATAATTTTCATATCATTTTGGTAGACCTTTTCACCCAAACTTGATTCAAAGCAATAAAAATATGAAATCTCCAACTCATCAAGCTACACAAGATGGGGAGATTTTATGTGAGATTGTTACTTATGTCAATGGCAGAAAGGAGCTAAATCTTATAACTGTTAAAGAAGATGCATCCTTTGACAAGGAAGATTCTCAAACTCCAATTGTAATTTCAGACTTTATTGTGTAGTCATCCTTTGAGAATAAGTTGACTGTCTGAAATTAGTTCTTTACTTTGTACTTAGAGTTTAAAGTCATCCCATAGTCCATGAGAAGAATTACCTGATACGGTCGCGATTGCCGATGTAGCGGGAACTAGGAACGCTAGATGAAGAGAACGCATGCTGGGCACATATGTTCGATGAAGGAGGCAAATAGATTTGAATAAGCTAGATTAAAGAAGCGGATCCGAAACTTATCGCACAAATTTCTCTCTTAGTGCCAAATCGCTCTGTTAGCGTCAAATTAAAATATGCCATAATAAATATTTTTTAAGATACTTAGATAAATGTTTCTTAATATATGTTATTAAAAGTTATTTTTTTTATAGTGTGCTTATAGAAGAGGATCAAGGTCAATGCTACAAAATTGGATACTTAGTGTGATTATACAGAAAGCACATAAATTGATCTCAATATAGCTAGTTATGTAGCATATGAGTCTGGATTGTAGTTGTCTGATTGCTAGAAACTTTAGTCAAATTCTGGATTAATTGAGCTTCAACATCCTTGATACATTCTTTTAGTAAGAACCTGAAGTTAGCTGGTGAGTATTCTGGGCCAATTGTCAAGTTTCATGGGTGTATAGTCTTTCCAAATGAGTAAATTTGGTATTAAGGGCCTAATGAGAACCATATCTTAGGTAGCTTGTTGACATTTAAGTTATAGGCACCTCTAGCCAATTCACATTCAGCAACTAGTAGTTGAACCCCAATTCAAGCTAGGGGTTTCAATATTTGACACAACACGAAAATTCGACTCGAACTTGATCCGGTTTCAAAACCGGTTGGATTCGGGTTCCCGGATTCTACTCATTTGAAAAAATGGGTTGGGTTTGGGTTGACCCATCAGGCTTTCGGGTCAACCCGAAAACCCATTTAAAATAAGCTTATCGTGCTGCACGCGCTCGTGCCGAGGCTGCCCGAGCCTGCCCATGTTGCATCTGAAGCTACCCGTGACTGCCCGCGCCTGCACCTGCCCTAGCCAGTACGTGTCGCGTCCGAGCTGCCCGCGCCTGCCAGCCAGCATCCGCACCTGCCGTTCGCCATGCCGCCGTTTGTCGTCCCGCCATCGGCATCCAGAAGCTCAAATGTGTCAGGTTGGATCAAACAGGCAGCCCGACAAGTCGGGTACTGGTTCGAATTTCAGACCCGTTTACATAATCGGGTTGGGTTAATGTCCCTGTTCCAATCCGGGTCAGTTCCGAGTTTGACCCGAAACCCAATTTCGACACCCCTAATTCAAGCTCCCTTACTGCTTGATTAACCTGATTTTAACCAAGTATAATGTCCTAAGCCACTTAAATTTTTTTCATGATCCCACTTGCATAGAATTCATCGAAACTTGGAACCAAGTCTGACGCCATGCATGGAGCCCAACACTAAAACAAATTAAATCATAAGCCTCTTCAAAAGGAATACAGTAGATTAATTAATTATATACGCCATGAAAAGTGCAGTGCACATAACACGTCTACGAACCATTTGTTCTTAAATCATAAGCCTCTTCATCACGCTTTCACCTTCGTTGCCTCAGCCTATGAACACCTAACAAAAGGCTTGAGTGGTCTTCTCTTTCTATGAGGTTGCCACCATTGGAGGAGTTAGGGTAACCAAGGCATGAGTGCTGCACTATTGTTGCGATGTTATGTGAAGGCCCCCACATCCTCCCATCCTCAACAGAACAAAGCAGCATTTGTTGTGTGGGAGAGAGTAGTATATGTCTAGGGCAGAATCATTCCCAAGTTATGAAAAAGAAAAGCATAACGAGACAGAAACCAAGAACAAGGGACCACTTGCTCTACTTTTTGTTAGCTCCACATTCCTTTCTTGCAACATAAACCACATGCTCTTTCTTTAAGCTGTTTGTCAAACAAATGCACCCTACAGGAAAATAGCTCATTTCTGGCGAAAATTTTTTTTTTGTCGGAAATACTTATTTCCTACGGATTTTGGACATTTTTCCGGCGGAAATGGATGCCTGAAAATGACGTTTTTCGTGTAGTGGCATGACTAGGAACCAATTTCTTCATCTATATATTAAAATAAAGAGTATTATTAATGAAAAAAAAAAGATCATGATAAATTTCAATATCATTAAATTCATTTTAAAATAAATAATATATATTTTAATTAATTATTTATTCATTGTATTATATTTTTGCTAATTAAAATTTGATAAGCATACCATGACTTAAATTTCTTTGGTAGTTATGTTAAAATTATGGATAAATATAAAGAATATTGAGTGAAATATTCTTCTAGAAAGAGGGGTGAATATTAGGTAAGCAGAATTAACAAACATTTATTTTGCTTTACTATCTATTATTATTCTGTGTGATGGTATTATAGAATTATTGTAAATTAATCAGTATAATATAACAGACCTAACGCCTAAAGTTTAAATTACACTTTTATAATAATTTTGTGGTACTATGGTCTTTGCCTTCTCATCATTTTTCTTTTTCTGAGATTATTGTTTCTTCTTGGTTACTGGTCCAAGCCTCATGGGTTAGGAAATTATTGGACTTTCATGTAGAATAAATTTTGTGTAGGAGAGGAATATTGACTTGATTTGTCTTCTACGATAAGAGATGGGATTGCTAGAGAGAGAGAGAGACGCTAACGTGAGAGAGACGTGCATGCCGTTTGTTGCAGTGTAATATTTGTTAGGTTAGAGAGGGAAGATTTTCTTATTAGAAAAATAATAATAATAAAAGAAAGAGAAAATAAAGAACTATTTGCCGATTCCTCCGGCGTGCTTCTTGGATCCGCTACCTATGATTCCACTCCTCTCTTTTTTAAACTTATTAACGGCACTTTCTCTCTCCATCTCTACATTTCATGCTTTACAAAGCTTTGTTTTCAGAGAAAGCTTAGACAACAGCTAATCAGAGATGGGCAATTAGGCAAGCGGCTTAGCCGGCTATTATTTTTTATATTTATTACAAAGCAGACAATAATAGCAGTTTCAGCCATGTTAATTACTTTATTATTGCTGCTTATAAATTAATTCATGTGGCGTGACATGAAATTCTGACCCTCAATGCTGCATTGAGATTCGCACACTGCATTTTTGTTCATGAAAAAATATTGCGTAGCATAGGCTGAAATGCTGAATGCCTTTACATTTATGCTGAAAATATATATAATTTAATTAAAATTATAAAATACTGTTAATACTTAGTTGAGGCCTAAGAGAGAGAGTGTGTGTTTTAGCGTAATGATTGCAATTAGCAAGTTCGTCCGGGCAGAATTGGGCAGGGCTGACCGCTGACCGAGGAGTATTATCAAAGCCATAAGTTGACCGTTTTGCAGAGCTGAAGGGTCACGCTTCTTATAGCGTCGCCACCTCTTATTACAACACAATCATTACTGTCAGAACTTAATAATGTAAGTGTTATTAAGTGAGAAAGTTTAATCCTTAATTAGTACACTGTGGCGAATGCCTGTAACGTAACGATTCCATTACATAACAAATTATATTTACAAAAATAACCCTATGCTCACATTTCACAAATGCTATTCATCATAATTACATTCAACTAGGCCTTATTCCTTTGTTCTTTTATTACCATTGTACTTGCAATGAGAAAAATTGTTACGTGTAGAATCTGGATGCGTTCGGAGGTCAATTTGAACGCGCCACGTCACTCAATACATTATATATTGAGTGAGGTGGCGCGTCTAGATTGGTCTCCGAATAAATTCTGGCACCGCACGTAAGAGGCATAAAAAGCTAAGAAAAAGCAAGCTTTAGAGCTTATCCAGTTCAGTGATAATGTATGCTAAACTTTATAGCTTAGATATCATTGCCTACAAATAAAAACAGCACAAGAATTCTGTAGGATTGTGTGATCCAGTTTTGCTTGACCTAATATTGATTCATATGGACTCCAAAATCAGGTAGAGATTTCATGCCGGGGCCAGCCTCTCCTCCCCTTCCTGACGCTGCAGCACATCCGAGATAACATATGGCAAATGCGAGAGGCTTCGACATCGTTGACGTTGCTGCCAGTATCGCCTTGCGACGAGCATTTAATGACTCTTCAGTATGGTAGAAGCACATAGGATTTCCATTGCTCAATCTGAAGTTGAAACTTTTTTTTATTTTTTGGCCTGCTTTCCTTCTCTGGTGTATAATTTCTGGGTCTGTGGATGAATTCTTTCTCTTAAGCCTTTTGCTTCTGTCTTCTTTCTTTTGTTCTGTTATTTATTGAAGAGAGGGACTGGCTCAGTCAGGATTGCCCTGTGTGATGATATAAGGGCTATGATGGCATCATGTGTTTTTCTCTGTCAACTTTGACATGAAATATTTATTACTGTTTTTTTACCTTCTGCTCCCTGGTTTGCTTCTTATTCTAATCATTTTCTGCAAAATGAGAATTTAAGAATAATTCACTTGCAAGTTCAACCATAGATTGATTCAGAAATCAACAATGCTAAAGAAATGAATATCAGTGTTAGGCTTCATTTGGAACGGTTTTTTTATTGCTTCTTAAAGCGACTTTTTAGTACAAAAATTAAAATTTATATACTAGAAAGCTTCTTTAAAAAGCAGTAAGAAAGTTGTTCCAAATGAAGCCTTAATATCACGGTGAGCTTTAACAATTTGCAGTACAGAAATTTGGGCAGTGAAGTAAAACCTTCTCATAAAATATGATAGCGATAAGCAATGGAGAAGGTACAAAAGTGGTCTCACTGCTTACCCATCCTGCAAACCATAAGACCATAAGAACAGTGGCAGTTTATTCCATTGAATAGAGAGAAATGATGTGAACTTTGATGATGAGGTCATGAAGATAAGAAAAAGTTGCAGAGATGGGTGAAATCTAAAGCGCCGGTTTTCAGCTGTGTATCATAAGTTATACAGGGATCAACGGGAAGCAGTCAGATCCTGTTAGAAATCATCCGGAAGTAACGTGGGACAAATAGAAGAGCAGACATATTAATGAAACAATTTGCTGCTCTGAAGCAATAAATGTTAGTAAAATGGACCAGGCTTTGTTGAAATTTCCCTGCTAAAAAGAAGCTAATGTAACTGATGTTTTGACATTATAATATTAAAGAAGCAATAAAATTGATTAAGGTCTCGTTTGGGACAATTTTCTTGCTTAAAATAATTTTTTAGTATAAAAATAATTTTTTTTTTAACTAAAAAATTGTTTTATAGCAACTGAATAGACACTAAGAGAATTTGATATTTACAGTGTTGCTTGAATAACAAAGCTTCTCAGGTTGCTTTGGTCCAATTAAAAGTACAACATTGATAGCTAGAGGCCACAGGGGCATTTGCTTTCTTGCAAAATAGAGCACCATGTGTAAAACTCTTGCCCTTTTATTTAATAGCTCAATTAAATATAACCATCAGTCAAAACAGGTTCTTAAGTGGGGCGCATACGGTTGGGATCCCCCCAACCCGTTCTCGATTCCCCTCGAGCGGCAGCGCCTCTTAAGTGGGGTATAATCAAGTGCGGGCTAGGAGGTTTCTGGGGTGGGTGTCTCTTTTAGATCAACCGATGATTAGTCACGCAGCCAAGCACCCTGTCGGGGATAGCAGTAGGTGCATGGATACCCCGTTCAAAAAAAAAAAAAAAACAGGTTCTTTAATGCAAAATGCTGTATTTATCCACAAATACAAACGAGTCATTATAATCTACACCTTCTATTAGCAAGATGCCAAGCAAGCGGTAGATACAAACGCTCCAATAGTGGCAAAAGTAGATGAGAATTCCCTTCTACATTTAAGGAACAACGCTCATAAGAAAACAAATTTCACATGGTTATGGTCAACAGGAGATGTAGAAAAGTAAACCTAAAAGAAAACTAAATGAACACCTTTTTCATAATGATGAATGTGTTCCCAGCATTTGGTTATTAAATGATGGTAGGTGAAAATCGGAAATTAATTCGTGTGAAGCATTAAACAAGATTTTTCAAAAATGGTTCAAAATACAGCACGCAAGAAGTCCACAGAAAAGAATAGTGGGCTGGGTGAATGCATTTCCAGTAGCAACCGATCGACGGAACAACAGAATTATTTTCAATGTAAAGTTCAAATATTTATACTATGACAGCACCCAACCAATGAAGCAAGGAACTTCAATAAAGCCGTCATATTGTCTCAGACACTCGCACACTCGTACACTATATAACATTTGGAGTTTCACTTCTAGTTTTCTTACATACAATCCACACTTCTTGGATGCTTGATGCAGGACAAATATAATCTATCATAAAATGAATGCAACAGGATAATTAAATTGATAATTCTTAAAATACTTACTAGTAAATAATAACAAATATACAACTAATAATGATCATAAACATAATAATAAATATAAAATTAATATTGAGCATAAACATAATAATAAAAATGTAATATGGGTGGTATGATTCAAGCTGTTATTATGTTAACAATACTAGATATTTAATTATAATATAATAACAATAACAACAAGCCAAAGTCCCACTTTGTGGGGTTAGCAAGATAGTTAATTCTAATAAAAACAAATAAATGAGAAACTAGGAAAGATCTAACATGTGACAGACTTAAGATAACCAGTAGCCAAGTAGAAATAAATTGAAATCAGCTTGTATAAATAATCCATCGTCATTATGATCTCGTTCCTTCCCTAGAAGTCCTCCAAGGGTTGTGATCTTACATGTTCAAGTAATACTTAGGAGCAGAAGAACTTAAGAATAGTAAAAAATTTAAGAAGAAAACATTTATTTAATAACTAAATATTTAACATTATAAGAGGCTCCATATTTATATGAATAAGACAAAGAGACTAAAATATACAAGCCTACCACAAAATTCATACATGCCAACAACAACAACATCAAGCCTTTATCCCACTACGTGGGGTCGGCTACATGAATCCTTTTTCTCCATTGTGTCCTATTAAAAGTCAAATTCTCGTTTAAATCTAATAAAGAAAGGTCATTCCTAATATTTTCTAACCAAGTATTTTTAGGTCTACCCCTACGTGTTATTAAGTGAGAAAGTTTAATCCTTAATTAGTACACTGTGGCTAATGCCTGTAACGTAATGATTACATTACATAACAATTTATATTTACAAAAATAACCCTATGCTCACATTTCACAAATGCTATTCATCATAATTACATTCAACTAGGCCTTATTCCTTTGTTCTTATATTACCATTGTACTTGCAATGAGAAAAATTGTTACGTGTAGAATCTGGATGCGTTCGGAGGTCAATTTGAATGTGCCACGTCATTCAATACACTATATATTGAGTGAGATGGCGCGTCTAGATTGGTCTCCGAATAAATTCAGGCACCGCACGGAAGAGGCATAAAAAGGCTAAGAAAAAGCAAGATAAAATTCATACATGCCACCAAACTTTTATTTGTCATCATTACCAAACCCACAAACATTATTATAAATACCATTAATATCATAATTATCATATATACCACATATAACGCTCCAAAATCAAATTTGAAAGAAATATTTTTTTTATCTTCTTAATTAATCAATCACAGCTTCTATAAATCATCAAAATAATAAATTTGTATCTAGTGAAAGCAACTAACAATTGTAAATCTCAAAATATTGCACTATATTTATTCTCTCAAAATCAATATACAATAGTTAGAAGATCAATATAATTTCTACTATATCACAAAATTCTGATTACAAAAATTAAAGAAAAATATATAAAAAAAAAAATTGAGGATATCTGTCAAATACACTCCAACTAGTAATGACCCCTTTCGTGACCTTAAATCATAAAAAACCATATAATGAGTATAAAAGCCTAGCAAATAACTAAAATTCTATCATTGCTCTCAGTACAAGACAAAAAAATCAATATGCATATTCAGTTATAGTCAATATCAATCATCACTTAATATAAGCAGTAAAAATCACATAAATCAACAATAAAATCAATATGATCAATAAAGTCAAAAGATATCTATCAAACTATAAAAAAATCAATAAAGATGACTATCATGCAATAAGATATGCTAGTATGCAATACTATGTTGTATCAATATTTATGATAGAATGAGTTCAATTATATCTATCAATCAGTTTAATGTACTATGAGGTAAATATCATCATAAGTATAATTATGAACCACAAGACAGGACATGCAGTTTTAATGTGGTGTTTTCTTTATTAAATATTTTATCTGTCATAGCTATCAATCTATCAATCTTATCTTATATGAATCATTTATTTTTACAGATGGCTTTCAATAATCATTTAAGAGTCATCACGCTTTATCCGTCAGCGTAATTTGGTCAATCGATCACAAGCTACAACTAGGATTACACCACAAAACTTTTATTTAAAGGAAAATTTGTTAACCCACCCTCCTCTGCAGGGTATTGTGTTTAAGAGTCAACTCATATTTATTACAGTGTTAACAGCTAGCATTCATTGCTTACATACAAACGTTATATTTTTTATGCTATATAAGTCAATATCATATGAAATGCAATAATAAAAAATGTAAGGAAATCTAACAAATTTATTAATTATGCATTTACTTTAAAAAAATCATAACTTCTAATTTAACTGATTGTCCGAGTAGGGTTGTGCAGGGGGTAGCTGACCGCTGACCGAGGAGTATTATCAAAGCCATAAGTTGACCGTTTTGCATAGCTGAAGGGTCACGCTTCTTATAGCGTCGCCACCTCTTATTACAATACAATCATTACTGTCAGAACTTAATAATGTAAGTGTTATTAAGTGAGAAAGTTTAATCCTTAATTAGTACACTGTGGCTAATGCCTGTAACGTAATGATTAATAATTAAAACATAATAATATTTATGTTATGGCGAAAATGGTTTGTGATTTAGAGTTAAAATGACTCCTAAAAAAATTATTTGTTTGGGCCAAAATATGGGTTCACCACCACTTTTGATAATATAAAATCCTTCTTGGGTTGTAATACAATAAATGATCCAATATATATAGGCCCAAAATTATAATATCATGCAAAAAAAGTCCAATAACATAAGGGTCCAAAATGCAACTATATATGTCTTAGATATATAAACTATACTTTAAGATAGCACCTACAATGATGACATTGATGCTCTACATTAGCAATGCCCAGTTTAGATGGATTCTTCTTTAGATAATTAAAATCCAGACAATCATATGACAATTGTGGGCTTAAGTAACGTAACTCATCAAAAATAAGTCATCAATCCTTAAGTGAAAAAAAAAATTCCAATGAACCAAAAACCTTTGAATGTCTCCATCATATGTGGTGATAATATGATCCTCTACATTTTAGTCAAGATGTTATGATCTTAAGTGACAAGATGGAAAAAAGTGTTGGTGATGATGAAGCAATAATGTCTAAGACTCCACAGTACAA